ACAAGCTGGTGGCACTGAATGGCAGAGATTGGGTGACTTATTACTTACAATTGGTCAACTTAATAAAGCTGAAGAACTTTATAACGTATTACTCAATCGAACATCTAATGAGGATGAAAAAGCATATTACTATGTTTGTCTAGGTTATCTCAAAACTTACCAGGGTGATTATAAAAAGGCTATCTGGTATTACGAACAAGGACTTGAAATTGATCAAAAAACTCTCCCTTCAAATCATCCTGATTTGGCTACTTCATACAAGAACATCGGAGGTGCGTATGTTAGAGTAGGAGACTATTCGAAAGCACTTTCATCTCACGAAAAAGCACTTGAAATCCGACATAAGACTCTTTCTTCGAATCATACTGATTTAGCTACTTCATATAACAACATCGGTATGGTGTATGACAATATGGGAGAGTACTCGAAAGCAATTTTATTTTACGAAACAGCTCTTGAAATTCAGCAAAAAACTCTTCCTACAAATCATCCTTTATTAGCTACTTCATACAACAATATTGGTTTGGTGTATGACAATATGGGAGAGTACTTGAAAGCACTTTCATATTATGAAAAAGCTCTTGAAATTCAGCAAAAAACTCTTCCTTTAGATCATCCTGATTTTGCACAGTCATACAACAACATCGGTATGGTATATGACAATATGGGAGAGTACTCGAAAGCATTTTTATTTTACGAAACAGCTCTTGAAATTCAGCAAAAAACTCGTCCCTTAAATCATTCTGATTTTGCGCAGTCATACAACAACATCGGTTTGGTGTGTAACAAGATAGCAGACTACTCGAAAGCACTTTCATCTCTCGAAAAAGCTCTTGACATTCGACATAAAACTCTTTCTTCAAATCATCCTGGTTTAGCTACTTCATATAACAACATCGGTTTGGTGTACGACAACATGGGAGAATACTCGACAGCATTTTCATTTTACGAAACAGCTCTTGAAATTCAGCAAAGAACTCTTCCTACAAATCATCCTTTATTAGCTACTTCATACAACAACATCGGGAGTGGGTATGAAAACAAAGGAGAGTACTTGAAAGCACTTTCATATTATGAAAAAGCTCTTGAAAT